TCAGCGGTAAGTCTGAAGACTTATAACACTAAAAAACCGGGTTTCGATATCAGTGGCGGGAACAGCACAGCTAGCCCATTGTGTAGCTTTGCGCTTAACAACAAACGAACCTTTTTTCTGTGTGCTCACTTTATCACATTTACATACATTACGTGACGCACTGATATATACTATTTATTATAATTTAGTTTCTCATGCTCTCATTGTATTAAGTAATAACTGTTTAATTTATAAGGATTACATTATGTAACTATGCTATCTATATATATATTAATCATGTTATGTTTATATCTCTAAGCCTTATTCATAGAAAACATTAATGCAACGAATGTTGTAAATTGTTTCTTTAAAATTTAAATAACCTCGACGAAGAGCTGTCTGAAATTTTTGGACGTAATAAATCTACTTTTTTCACTAGCCTTGCGTACTGCTAGAATCTGTATTTCGTATACGTGATCTAATGAGGTTAATTATAAGTTGTTTATCTTAGAAGCATGCTTTATAAATAATCCTTATTTGACATTAAATGTACTCTTATTTTTAGCCGCGGCATAGCGGCTCATAGAATGGCTCCAAGTTTTTTTTCAACTACAAACGTTTAGCTCACAGCTCCGTCATCTCTTGACCGATTTGACATCTAATTACAGTTATGGACTCTTTCTATTGATGTATTTGACCACGTCCAAGGTCTCATAGATTAATTTGCTCTAATCCTGCCCAAAAGAATTTCAAGTTGAAGGTAGGCTGGTAGACATCCTGATGAGTAATGAAATCAAACCTGGTATAAGTGCTCCCCATGCTTGGTAATTGCTGGCGCACAAAAATATAAAAGGGGGAAAAAACGTCTCATAGATTAACTTACTCTAATCCTGCCTAAAGAATTTAAATTTCTACGGCTATTGAAGATTCCCTATTATTTTAATTATAATATACCCTGAAGTAAACGTAAGATTAGTGTTAGAATTCGAGTATACGTATTTTGGATTTGAAGGCCATTTCTTTTCAACACATTTGTTTACCATTAAGCACTTTACACACTGAAAAGTCGTATTTTATTTGTAATAAACGCAGACTATGCCTCTGTTAGGTTTTTTACACTTAATCAAAATCGTTTTTAAGAAGATACGAAAGCCAGAATTTTCACTCTTCGTTTATTTAAATATGTCTTAGCTCAGTGCAGGTATTGCGAGTCTCGTAGGAAAAACGACGAATTTATATTTAAAGAGACAAACCAATCCACAGACCATGCTATTCTCGTAATACAACGTGATTCTTATAGGCCCCCCAGGTCTCAGAGTCTATTCATTTGGACTGTCTGTGCTCTGCTTACTCCGGGTATCGAAACCCGACTTTTATCGTCATAAGTCATCAGAGTTAATGTTGAGCCACTGGCGCCAATCCCAGAGGTGTTGCTAGGCTTAGACAAACAACAACAACAACAAAAACAAAAGATGTAAATATGCTCTAAAAATCAGAGAGTTTATAGTTACCTCATCTAAATCTAAAACATATAGTGTTTTCAAACTTTATTTCAGTAATTACAATATCACATTATTGGGGCTGCATCTTATATAGCCAAAACACGCCCAATAAATACAATATTGCTCCTTTGTTTGCAACGTCTAATTCGCTGAAGCCTTTTTAGTGCCTGGTTGCAGTGTTTGTTTGTTTGTTATAGATTTCGTGCAAAGCTACACGAGTGTTATCTGCGCTAGCAGTCCCTATTTTAGCAGTGTAAGACGAGAGGGAAGGC